TAGGGGTGGAAAGTAAACATGAAAAACTAAAATGCTGTTGCATAAGTGTGCACACCCTCTTATAACTAGGGATGTAGCTGTGTTCAGAATTAAGCAATCACATCACATTCAAAATCATGTTAAATAGAAGTCAGTACACACCTGCCATCATTTAAAGTGCCTCTGATTAACCCCCCAAATAAAGTTCAGCTGTTCTAGTAGGTCTTTCCTGACTTTTTCTTAGTCGCATCCTAGAGCAAAAACCATGGTCCACAGAGAGCTTCCAAAGCATCAGAGGGATCTCATTGTTAAAAGGTATCAGTCAGGAGAAGGGTACAAAAGAATTTCCAAGGCATTAGATGTACCACGGAAGACAGTGCAGACAGTCATCATCAAGTGGAGAAAATATGGTGCAACAGTGACAAGAACTGGACGTTCCCCCCCGAAATTTATGAATAGGTGATAAGAAAACTGGTGTGGGAGACTGCCAAGAGGCCTACAGCAACATTAAAGGAGCTGCAGGAATATCTGGCAAATACTGGGTGTGTGGTACAAGTGACAACAATCTCCCGTATTCTTCATATGTCTGGGCTATGGGGTAGAGTGGCAAGATTGGAAGCCTTTTCTTATGAAGAAAACATCCAAGCCCGGCTAAATTTTGCAAAAACACATCTGAAGTCTCCCAAAAGCATGTGGGAAAACAGGTTATGGTCTGATGAGACCAAGGTTGAACTTTTTGGCCATAATTCCAAAAGATATGTTTAGTGCAAAAATAACACTACACATCACCAAAAGAACACCATACCCACAGTGAATCATGGTGGTGGCAGCATCATGCTTTGGGGCTGTTTTTCTTTAGCTGGAACTGGGGCCTTAGTCAAGGTAGAGGGAATTATGAACAGTTCCAAATACCAGTCAATATTGGCACAAAACCTTCAGACTTCTGCTAGAAAACTTGACATGAAGAGGAACTTCATCTTTCTGACAACGGCCCAAAGCATACATCCAAATCAACAAAGGAATGGCTTCACCAGAAGACGATTAACGTTTTGGAATGGCCCAGCCAGAGCCCACACCTGAATCCGATCAAAAATTTATGGGGTGATTTGAAGAGGGCTGTGCACAGGAGATGCTTTCGCAATCTGACAGATTTGGAGTGTTTTTGCAAGGAAGAGTGGGCAAATATTGCCAAGTCAAGATGTGCCATGCTGATAGAATCATACCCAAAAAGACTGAGTGCTGTGATAAAATCAAAAGGTGCTTCAACAAAGTATTAGTTTAAGGGTGTGCACACTTATGCAACCATATTATTTTAGTTTTTTACTTTTACTTCCTTCCACCTAAAAGATTTCAGTTTGATTTTCAACTGAGTTGTAGAGTTTATAGGTTACATTAAAAGGTGGAAAAAGTTCTGAAATTATTTATCTTTGTCTCATTATTTTTACATCACAGAAACCTGACATTTTAACAGGGGTGTGTAGTCGTTTCATATCAACTGTAGCTTAGCTTATTTACTGCACAGTAGCTCAAATGTGAACTGCGTCTAGTTTCATTCAGTGGAGATTGCATGTTTGGTATACATCCATTTCTCTATAACATACAAAGCATTCACAGTCACATTAATATTGAATACGCATGTAGTTACCATAGTGATAAAACATATGTGATTCTGCGTGCAGTTATTGAACAGCAAACCGCCTTCTCTGCTGTGTGATTGCAAGGAAAAAAAAAATCAGGGAAGCCATATTGCTCCTAAAGGTGTTAAGTATCGGCATAAACTTTGTATTTTGACAATCAAATGATATGTATATATTCCCATCCATTGCTCTAGTATACAATAGACAGCAAGCACTATACTGTCAGCATTTATTTACACTGCTAGAGATGTTTATAGGTATAAATTGGAGTATACATCTATTATATAAACTGGGAGTACGCTTCTAAACATGGTTATTAGTGTAAATGAGGACTGGCAGATAGAAGGATTTCTATGGTTGGAGCTGTACTGTGTCACACACACATAAAAAATAGATTCCCTTGGAAACTTCATAGCTACTCTCTCTCTCTCTCTCTTTAGAAGTCCATTGCAAATCCTTTTCATATACAGTATAAACATGTATATAGAAATACAACCTATAATAATAATAATAATAATAACCTACATTGTTGATTTACTAAAGCCTATAGGCTGTTTACTTTGCAAGGGGAGTTTCAGCATGCAAGGGAATTATCCCCAGAGCTCATTGAATGTGGTGAAGTTTTACTTTACAAAGAATACGCAATCATGTGTAAAGACAATAAAAAAAATGGCATTTTTGTTTGCACCTGATTGAATCATTGAAATAAGCAGATCTTCACCACATTTGCTAAGCTCTGGGGAAAATGCCCTTGCAAAGTGCAACTTTCCTTGCAAAGTGAACCGTCTATTTGGAGAAATTTACAGTATGAAACAGTTCTCCTTATAGTCCTCAAGGAATCCTTGAAATAAGGTTGACCATTGAGGATCTTCCACTAAAAATTGTATATAATTTTAGATTATACTTAGGCTTGAAAAATGTATTTAACACCCAAACTTAATACAGTATAGGCTTGACTTGCTATCTAACATGAATCTGCTCTAAGCAATATAGATATATTCTGCATAGCCCATAAAAAATTCCAGCATTTGAGAAACCTTGCAGTCATTTTGAAAATGCTCAGCCCATACCTCTAAAGAATATTGGTCAAATTCTGTTTTTATAATGTACATAGTCATTCAGCTACTAGGATCTCTGTAATGGATATTCGAAAAAAAATTGGCAAAAAAAATTGTTTGGCCACTGCCCGGATATTTAAAAAAGGTTAAATAATTATAACTCTCATACCATCTCTATCTCTCAGATGTCTTCTTGGTATGACAGTAACTCAGCCTGCATAAGGAGATTGGATGAGTTGACTGAAATGACCTCTACTGTTTGGTTACATAGATACTCAAGCAGAAGTGTGTAATCAGTAGGATACATTTAATTCAGTGTATACAGTGTGATACAGTTCAAATGCAAAGGTTTTATTCAATGCAAAGTAAATTTTCTATAGCAAATTGGTGCAATTGGTTATTACCAATTTATCTACATTTATCTTACAGCCACTAAAATGAAAGCAAATCTTTTTGCTTAGGAATATGAACCTCCCTTCCTGAAATGCATCTAGGCAAGTTTGACAGTATGTTTATGAAAGAAATTGGACTTAGAAGGCACAAGTACAACAGCTGACAGAGGTATTGTGATTAATAAATAATATTATTAAACAATTATATGGGGTTTTCACAAAAGGAAGTGTCCATCATGAAAAAGTAGTTATTTTAACATTGTGAACCTTTAGCAGAACAAATTAAAAATGCGCTCTATACAAAACAAGTATTTCAGCCTTCAGCCTATAATGAAAACGTGAAAAAGAAATAGGGGAAGTGGGGCACATTAGTCCCATAAGCAGAACAAGGATGATGGAATTTAAAATAGTGGTAATGATAGTGGTAATGGTATCAACAGCTGTTCTCATACAGAATAAAATAACATAATTCACTGATGAGAGAGATTGATGAAAGCAAAAGGCATTTACTATGAGATACCAGAACTGTTCTTTTCTAAAAATGTTAAAAAATCTGAAAAAAAAGATGGCACCTGGAATCTGATTAGTTTCTAAGGACACCAAAACATTCCATTGCATTATATTAAATAACATTTCCAGCAGTCTCTTAACAATTTTTAGAGTTCCTAGGCTAATCCATATATGGTCAGTTCATTCATGAGATCTTGTTTTTTTTAAACAGAAGGAGTTTATGAGATCTGACTACTGTATCTTTATATCAACCAGGCAATGTAGTTAGAAGTTAAATGAAGGCAGTCTCAATGCAGAGTCCCATTGTACATGAATTATGGGAAGAAATGTGTATACATTTCTTAAATACATTTCAGAGGACTGAATTTTATTTTCTGACTGAATGTAACTAGAACATTGCTGAAATCCATGTTCTTACTACTGGTAGCAATAATTAAAAAGCATGCTGTACAGAAAGACCCCAGTCTGTAAGAAAGACCTATGGGAACATAATCTTCACAGCAGACAATGTTAATCACTGAAAAAATACAGAGAAATCTGTAAGTCTTACACAAACGTAACCATTTTTTATAATGGAAAAGATCCCATAAGGGTAACCCAGCAAATGTATTTAACTAAACCAGAAATCAACATAAAAATCTATTCTGTTATTTAAAAAAAAAAAATGATAAAAATCCAATGACTAAATTATCACTTAGAATCCCAAAGTAAAAAAGGTTGGACAAGTGAACCACTTGACTATATTACACCTCGAATTACAATTTAGTAGACCATACCTAAGGGTCTACATATAAAAAGAGTATGCTTTTGTAAGAGCTGCACTGGATTTTTCATACAAAGTCTTCACTTTAAAATGATCTAGTTTCTTTGCTGATATAGAAGGTTTGCACAAATATTTACTTTCTAAAGAACCTTCTGGTACACAGAAGAATGTTAAACCAGTTTGGAGAAGATAGACTATGGTTTTTAAAAATGGCGCTGTGTAGTAGTGTGAGTGAATCAACCTGAGCCATAGCTGTAACTGACGTTTTAAATGTTGATTACTTCAATAATGTTACATTATTATATTATCATTTTATATATAAAGCACATACACTTGTTCTCGCTGTACAATAACTCGATCTTGTCATACATCAGTACAAGATACAAACTGGAAATTTTCAATGTACTGTGGGAAAATTGCATCCATGAAAACCTCTGGAATATTCTTTACAGTAACTGACAAGGAATCTTTGACTATGCACCACCAGGCTCTGACCATTTGTGGACCAACTATTCCAGATGCTTTGCAAAGAAAGGAAGCAAAACAAGCACTGTTTATAAAACCAGTATGACAAGACAATTATCCCCTTTATTCTGCAGGAGACTATAATGCAATGTAGTGCACACCCCCCTGTAGTAGTAAAGGTTTAGAGACAAACATTTTAGATTATAGTTTTGCCAAGGTCCACTTTCACTGGCAGTGGCCCAGCCTCCTCGCTCTCTTCAGTTGGGCAGATAGTAACTGCAACAACAGGTGGCAGAGGGAAAGGTTCCGGCTTTTCCATGTCTTCCAGGTATTCTTTGTCACCATTTATGCTCAATGGCTGTTACAAAGCAAAAATAACATGTTAATCTTTTTTCCTTAAATAAATATTCTGACAGAGTTTTATATTCTGTTTGACACATAAAAAAGTTTTATATAATATTTATAACATTAAACACTTGCCCTCCAGAGGATTTACCCCCCTTCCTGACCAGGCCATTTTTTGCAACATGGCGCTGCGTTACTTAAACTGACAATTGTGTGGTCATGCAACGCTGTACCCAAATAGAATTTACGTCCTTTTTCCCACAGCTTTCTGTAGGTGGTATTTGATCGCCTGTGCATTTTTAATTGTTTGCGCTATAAACAAAAAAAGAGCAGACAATTTTGAGGAAAAAAAAATATTTATGACTTTTTGCTATTAAACATGTCCAGGAAAAAAATTCAAAAAATCGAATTTCATTATAAATTTAGGCCAAAATGAATTCTGCTACATGTCTTTGCTAAAAAAAAAATCCCAATACGTGTAAATTAATTTCTTTACGTGAAAGTTATAGCGTTTACAAATGGCGGTATATATACTGGGATTTTTTTTTTCTTCTATTTTACTAGTAATGGCAGCGATCAGTGACTTATAGCGGGACTGTGGTGGGCATTCTGACACTGGGGGGAACTGACTTGGTGTCACTGACATCCCCAGTGACACCAATACAGTGATCAGTTCTAATAAAAAGTATTGACACTGTACTAATGGCACTGGGCAGGAAGGGGTTAACGTGGGGGGCGACCAACACAGTGACTGACAGCTGAGGCCACGAATGGCGTGGGGTAGGTCACGCATGCCCCCTACCTGAAACCGCAACATCATGTATATATACGTGATATTGCACAGCTGTGTCACCATGTAGCAGTATACCTGCTATAAGGCGGCACAGAAGCGGTTAAATTAAATGTTCATCTGTGTTTATATATTTTTTTATGCTATCATACTAAAAAGGCAGATCCATGTATTTAATTGCTGAAACTATCAAGTCATAACAAACAATGAAGAAAAAAACATTCAAGAGGTGCTGGGACTTTGATGTGTGTTCAAAGTAGTGAGAGGAAAAAAAAACATTTGGAGAGCTCGCTTCCTCAGGTTAGGCTGCTTATAACAATCAAGGCTACCATCCAGTGGGTACTCCAGCAGGTTATTAGAATAAAACATGCTCTAATGGAAGGAGCACCAGACCAATGGTTAAAATAAGAACCTTGAATGGACTCAAAATAGAACTTTGCTGTGTTGATGGCTCACACAGATGTGCTGGCGAGTAATTCTCCTGATCTAACAATTAGATTCCCCTTACAGAGTCACACAGGAAAGCTACATTTGGAGTCCATGCCAGGTTCTTATCTTAACTGAAGCCCTGATGAAATGAGAGGTTTTTCTGACCCTCGAAATGTGTTGGATTTTTTTTTAGTATAAACTAATAAATTAATTTAGACTCTTTTATGCTTTGGTCTGACACTCTTTCCATTAGCGCATGTGCTAGATGCTTTTTTAGAATGAATACATTTTGACTCTTTTATCCTTTGTTTGTCACTCCTTTCATTAGTGAATGCGCTGGATGTTTTTTAGTATAAACTAATAAATTAATTTGGAATTTTTTATCATTTGATCTGGTGCTCCTAAAAATTAGTGCTTACTTTTTTCAAGTCATAGAAGGGACAGTCTGGGTGGGGCTGGTCAGAGACCTGGATTGAGGGATTGCTTTGGTTTTTCAGGACCAACAGTTTTAAACCTTGGGGCGGTGGTTGTCATTTCTGGTCAAGGTTGGACACTGTACACTCAGGCATTATTCTACAATCTTTAGGCATTTTCACCATTTGGCAATCCCACCCCCACCAATAAAGTCTCAGCTTGAGGAGCGGGGCATTTTGTTATCTTTGCCTTGGGTGCTAGTGGGCTTTGTTGTGGCACTGATTACTACATTGCAAGTGATTCAAACATTTGGTACATTGCAAAACCTACTTGCACTTTAGCAGCTATGTAAAATAAATCAAAATCATCTTTTGATTGTCAAACTCTCTAAAGCCTTAAGTTTTCTTCATTACATTTACATTTTAATTTATTCTAAATCTTTATTACTCTCTTGAAAAAAAAATATGACTAAATGTATTAAACATTATAGGATAGCTGAGGTTTCAAAAACTGGTTTTATAAAAACATGTATAGTTGTAATTGCTGCAGTGTAATCTCCCTAAAGACACAGCAGGACTTGAGAGGAAATATCTACAGTTAGAATTCCTCTCTTAGGGCTCGTTCACACTTGACTGTTTTTCCAAATCTTGTCAAACGCCCCTATAGCGTTTGACAAGCATTGGTCCGGTGTTTGCAGAGCGTTTTTAAATGCTCCTTAAACGCCGCATGTGCGGTTTAACCGAGGTTGCTAGGTGTTTGCAAAGCGTTAAAAACACCCCACAAATGCCTATAATGAAGTTGGAATGGTGTTAACGCTCCGCAAACACCCCAGAACCGCGTCGCAACTGCACCGCAAACGCCAGCCGGGCGTTTCTGGAGCGGCACCATAGACTTGAATAGGAGGCTTCAACTCCTCCTGACTCAATCAGAGGTGTCCGTTTTGCCGCGACACAATGCAACGCGACGCTAACGCTCCCGTGTGAACAGCACCATGTGCTGCAATGTGCAGAATTTTCACAGGTGTTTGGGAAGCAGTAAAAACGCTTCCCAAATGCCTGTCTGCAAACAAGGCTAGTGTGAACGTAGCCTTAGGCTTCATTCACACAGGTGGTGGCAAGCAGCAATTCTTGCTACCAGAGAAACTAGCTGCATGCACAAAGTGGGGTTTATTTACTAAAGCTGCAAACTCAGGCTCACTTCTGCATAGAAACCAATCAACTTCCAGGTTTTATTGCCTAAGCTCAATTGCACAAGCTGAGGTTAGAAGCTGATTGGTTCCTATGAAAAAGTGAGTCTGATTTTGCAATCTCCAGCTTTAGTAAATAAACCTCAGTGTGTGTGTGAACAGCCACAGCCAGCAGCAGCACTGGTAGATTTGTACCCTGTACAAATCAATTGTTGGCACTGCTGGTGTTCACATATGACTTCTGATACTTGGCTGTTAAGCTGGCCCACTGGCTTTAGTCTTCACTGCATCACTGACCCTAAACAAGTGTGAATAAAAAAAAAAACTGAAAAACTTCCTTATATGCATAAGTGTTCCTGATCAGAAGTACTGACACAGAAGGTTAGCATGACAGCCAAGTAATTCACTCTTTTCAGAAAGGATTATGCAGTCATAGGCTCTATGTTTCTCTCATCTCTGGTTTCTAATAACAGATTTGCAAAACACATATTTCTGGAATAAGAGAAGCAACTATAAATCTGGATTTGCTTTGCAATGTTTAACTACTTGCCGACCGCAGATAGCTGAATGACGGCTGCACTACGGCCGGCCAGTTCTGGGTGGACGTCATATGATGTCCTCCCAGAATGCGCTCTCCTGCGCGCCCCTGGGGGCGCGCACCCGGCGATCCCCATGATCGCTGTGTCCTACGCACACAGCTGATCACGTGACGTGGTAAAAGGCCAATCACAGCGGCCTTTTACCACATGATCAGCCGTTTCCAATGACACGCTGATCACCGGGAAATGCAAATGCCAGTTCTCGGCTGCACTTTCCTCACGCTGTCAGATCGTGAGGAAAGTACTGCCGAGAACCGGCAGTTGTCAGAGCGGGGATCGGCACCGATCATCAGGGTCACTGATCATCAGTGCCCTGATGATCGGTGCCCAGCAGTGCCACACACAAGTTTCGCCCACCTGTGCCCAGCAGTGCGCCCACCTGTGCCCAGCAATGCACCCACCTGTGCCCAGCAGTGCACCCACCTGTGCCCAGCAGTGCGCCCACCTGTGCCACCCAGCAGTGTCACCACCTGTGCCCAGAAGTGCCACCTACCTGTGCCCAGTAGTGCCACCCACCTGTGCCCACCAGCGCCAACCACATGTGCCCACCAGTGCCACCCACCAGTGCCCATCAGTGCAGCCCAGCAGTGCTGCCAGTCAGTGCCACCAGTCAGTGCCCAGCGGTTGTGCCAGTCAGTGCACAGCAGTGCCGCCAGTCAGTGCCCAGCAGTGATGTCAGTCAGTGCCACCTATCAGTGCTGTCTATCAGTACCCATTATCAGTGTCGTCTATCAGTGCCACCAATCAGTGCCGCATATCAGTGCCACCTATCCGTGGCACCTCATTAGTGCTACCTATCAGTGCTGCCTATCCGTGCCACCTCATTAGTGCTGTCTATCAGTGCCGCCTATCAGTGCCCTTCAGTGCTGCCTATCAGTGCCCATCAGTGCCGCCTATCAGTGCTGCCTCATCAACGCACATCCGTGAAGGAGAAAAATTACCTGTTTGAAAAATGTTATAATAGAAACAAAGAAACTTTTTTTTTTTTTCTCCTTCACTGATGACAACATTTTTTGCTATTTTTTTTGCCTATAGCACAAAACGTAAAGTGCCCAGAAGCGATTAAATACCACCAAAAGAAAGCTCTATTTGTGAGAAAAAAATGCTAAAAATTTCATATGGGTACAATCTTGCATGACCGCGCAATTGTCAATCAAAGTGCGACAGCACTGAAAGCTGAAAATTGGCCTGGTAAATAAGGGGGTATAAGTACCCGGCAGGCAAGTGGTTAAAAAGTAATGCCACCATTTATCCCAAATGAACACTCAAGAATTAGTCATCATCATGTCATTACCTACATAAAATATCAGAAAAGACTACAATACCTGTGCCTTAACATGCTGATCAGGTGCAGTCACCAAACTAGCACAGCTAAGCCAGAGCATCACCATAATAGAGAGGAACAAGCAGGCAGCCAGAATCCACCTAGGTAATCCAGATCGTCTGCAAGAAAAATTTTAAAGATTTTATTAAACTCCAACTCCCTCCTACGCTTTACATATATATTGTACATTCACATCAGTGTCTGCCCTCAAGGAGTTTACAATCTAAGGTCCCTAACTCCCATTTATACATACTCGTGAGCCAATTAACCTGCCAGCATGTCTTTGGAGTGTGGGAGGAAATCTGAGTACCCAGTGGAAATCCACGCAGGCACAGGGAGAGCAGGCAAACTCCAGACAGGTATTGTCATGGTTGGGGTTTGAACCAACAAGTTCCCCTAGTGCTGCCAGGCAGAAGTGGTGGCCACTTAGCCACTGTTTATTGCCTCCTTTCCCATTGCCAGTGGGTCAGAGAGGATAAGAATGATAGGTGATAGGGCACCTCTCTAAAGATGACACACCAAACAAAAATACATGATTTTCAGAAAATCTGGGAAAGGTTAGAACCTTTGAGAATTTTTTTTATGTCTTTGTTTTCTGACCCTGGTGTCACAAGGATAGAAAGTGAGCAGAAATCTCCCCAGTCAAAGACATCACTAAAATCTGACAGAACTTCTAACACGCCCTTACACTACGGAAAACCAAGGAAAAACTAGAAAAAGATGTGGGTGGATTTGGGCTTTTGGGTTTAGTTTTGAAGGATATCATACAGTTGGTCTTTTAGACCCTGTTAATTGCAGTGCAACCCAAAGCTTTCCATTTTGGCCTAAAATAAATTCATAGATGTTTCCTTTTTGTTGCAGATACACAGATTATATTTGACAACTAGCTACTATTGAAAAACTAGGTGGATCCAGCAAAAAGCAAACTAAAAAATTGAAAAGACAGCGAAAAAGACAATAAATCATGTATGCACAAAGTGCGTAAGACATACACTATATTGCCAAAAGTATTGGGACGTCTGTCGTTACACACACGTGAACTTTAATGGCATCCCAATCTTAGTCCATAGGGTTCAATATTGAGTTGGCCCACCCTTTGCAGCTATAGCAGCTTCAACTCTTCTGGGAAGGCTGTCTACAAGGTTTAGGAGGGTGTCTATGGGAATCTTTGAAAGTTCTTCCAGAAGCGCATTTATGAGGTCAGGCATTGATGTCGGATGAGAAGGCCTCACTCGCAGTCTCCGCTCTAATTCATCCCAAAGGTGTTCTATTGGGTTGAGGTCAGGACTCTGTGCAGGCCAGTCAAGTTCCTCCACCTCAAACTCACTCATCCATGTCTTTATGGACCTTGCTTTGTGCACTGGTGCACAGTCATGTTGGAACAGGAAGGGGCCATCCCCAAACTGTTTTCACAAAGTTGGGAACATGAAATTGTCCAAAATGTCTTGGTATGCTGATGCCCTAAGAGTTCCCTTCAACAGAACTAAGGGGCAAAGCCCAACCCCTGAAAGTCAACCCCACACCATAATCCCCCCTCCACCAAACTTTACACTTGACACAAAGCAGTCAGGCAAGTACCGTTCTCCTGGCAACAGCCAAACCAAGACAGATTCATCAGATTGCCAGACAAAGAAGTGTGATTCGTCACTCCAGAGAACACATCTCCACTGCTCTAGAGTCCAGTGGCAGCATGCTTTACACCACTGCATCTGATGCTTTGCATTGCACTTGGTGATGTAAGGCTTGGATGCAGCTGCTCGGCCATGGAAACCCATTCCATGAAGCTCTCTACATACTGTTGTTGTGTTAATCTGAAGGCCACACACAGTTTGGAGTTCTTTAGCTATTGACTCTGCAGACAATTGGTGACTTCTGCGCACTGTGCGCATTAGCATGCGCTGACCGCACTTTGCCAGTTTATATGGTCTACCACTGCACGGCTGAGTTGCTGTTTTTCCCAGTTGCTTCAATTTGTTATAATACCACTAACAGTTGATCATGGAATATTCAGTAGCAAGGAAATTTCACAAATGGGCTTATTGCACAGGTGGCAACCTATCACAGTACCAGGCTTGAATTCATTGAGCTCCTGAGAGTGACTCATTCTTTCACAATGTTTATAGACACAGTCTGCATGCCTAGGTGCTTGATTTTACACACCTTTGGCCATGGATGTGATTAAAACACCTGAATCCATTGATTTAGAGGGGTGTCCTAATACTTTTGGCAATACTTTTGTACATATGTCTCCCAATGACTTGTCTAGTGGAACTACTATGACCTAACTAAACTAGAGGATTCTCAAAATATCTGTGCTACTAATGCTCAGTGCATTCCACTGTGCATTGCCTGAGAATAAATAAAAGTAGTTTTATTACTGTTTACTGAGAAAATACCAATGAAATACCAAAATGTGACATTTAATGGATCTTTTATTTGGGTGGTATATTATAGACTCTGAATAATGCTTTTTTTTATTTGTGAGAAAAAGGCACATGACCTTTATTTTCACAATAATTAAATAACAATTCTAAACTTAGTCTAAATATTTTTAAGGTTTTACTAATTATCTTGATTAGCTCAGGCTTAAAATGCTATTACTATCTCTCCTTACTTGGACATACACCCCAGAAAATCATGTTCAGATTGTGGAGTTTCCAAATGGACAACTTGTGTTTTATTCTGGATTCTTTTCCTGAAGTCTTCTCTACTTTTTCTCGAATGCCTGAGAATAAATAAAAGTAGTTTTATTACTCTTGATTGAGAAAATACCAATGAAATATCAAAATGTGACATTAATGGGTCTTTTATTTGGGTGGTATATAATTGCAGTTAAAACATGGCAAACAATCATATATTTTTCATCATCTACTAAAGTAAACTGAACTATGGTTGCAATGTGCTGATACTTCAGATGTCCAATTTTCACCTATAGGGGTTAACTGTAGCTTAACCAGACGCTACAATTAATTCTAACCTTTATAACAGCATCCTAACAGTTGAAGATATGGTAATTTACAGGTCAGAGACATTAAAGGCACTGCTTTATTTAGATATGTTTTCAGTGTTGAAAGCTCCACACCAAGAATTAACATTCTAGGCTCTTCATGCCAAAAAAAGAACCTATTGGATATAGGTAGCTGCATTTTTCAGCTGTTATCCTGCTTTTTATTTCCTTAATAAGATCAAGAATGTAACTCATTTAGGGTGAAGTCAAGATTAGGGTGAAGTAAATTGAAATTGTTTTCGCTGCAAAATTAGCCAATTAATTTTCATCAAAATTAGTCTCTAATTTCATCATGATGCTTGCTTGGATGAAATTTGCTGGCAAAAAAGCAATCTACTTTTAATAAAACCTTCTTATGTTGCATTAAAAGCTTCCGCACTCCTCAAATCACTTCAAGCATCCAAACAGTGAATGGCATGCGATGGCAAAGGAAAAGTTTTAACTTGGACATACAAGATTTAAAAAAATTATATAAATTGCCGCAATAGAAGCTTATAGAACCTTCGTTTTGGCAACAAATTCCATTCAATTAATGGCAGGGATCAAAAGCAGAAAGCACAGTGAGCGGGGGTATCATTATGCTGGCGTCAGAATTTTTGAACAGCTGTATTTCAAAAAGAACAGCACAGATGTAGGTTTATTAGGTACAACACACATATCTACAACACTATAGGTGACAGTCCCTCTATACCTGATAAGAATAATATTACAATTTTACAAACCCCAATGTACAAAAACAAACAATATAATGTTAATCCCAACAAATATTTGCACACCCACAATGTCAAAAATTACTGTAATCAATTTAATGCAATTCTCTAATATCTTATAAACATCCTTTTAAAACTCTGTAGGAGAGATTTTCTAAAATTGGAGAGTTAAAAAATCTGGTGCTGCTTTGCATAAAAACCAAAAAAAAATCATCTTCCAGGTTTTATTGTTAAATGCTTAATTGAACAAGTGGAAGTTAGAAGCTGATTGGCTGCCATGTGCAGCTGTACCATATTCTGACTGCTCCAGTTTTAGTAAATCTCCTGTGTGTTATGCTTCCCACAAAATACTTAGATCTTCACAGTAATCCTCAAATCAGCCAGAACCTCCTTATTCATAATACCTCCCTCTTATAGGAAAGCAAATCAAGCATGTGTTCTACCTTCTTTGGAATGGCTGGTATTCAGAAATGCTCCTTCCTTATGAATTACCTTCCCACTACAGAAAAAATAATGGTTTTTCTGGACATTTAATTCCTCAGGTAATGTGCGCCAATAAGAGGTATAAATGCAGAGAACCTCATAGTGTAACTTGGTTTTTAAAACAACAGTTTAACAACAACTTCAGTGAATCAACTCATACTTAGCAAGTCTCAACAGCGCTAACAATACCAATAACAATATAGTGAGACAATCCTGACTTTGTGAGATGTAGCTACCTCCACCTGACACACTTCCTCACTCAAATACCTTTTCAAAGGCCTTACAAAGCTAAGAGTAAATAACACATTTACTTCCTGCAATCCATTCCCAAAAACTCTTGGTGCTCTCCTTAGATTACTGCTTTGGATTAATGGTATGGTAAAAGCTACTTACGACCGATAAGTAGATCAAAATATTCTTCTTGCTATTTATACTTGTCAAATCTTATTTGTACTATACCTGTGCTTGGCTTCAGGGTATTAAATCGGGAAGAAAGCCAGTTCTTATCAGTGACCTCTGATCTTGGAGCTTGAAGCTCTAGCACTGGGTATTCCACTTCTGGCTGAGACTGAAAGGTAAATGAAAATACTGCCATCAGAAATTAAAATAAAAGAGTGCTAAAAAAGATAAATAAGATGCTTTGCATACGGTTTTTTTTTTTTTGGGGTTCAGACTAGTTTTTTGTACTTTTTAGCTATTTAAATGCAAAAATGTTCATTTTATAATAAAAGGGGGTTTATTTATTCGTACAGTAAAAAAATGTAAACTAAAAAAACTAAAACATAAAAATAAACAAAAACTGTATTTTGCTTGCACATGATTGAATAGTTTAAGTGAACATTTGCTAAGATAACATCTTCTACACCTTTAGTAAATCAAAACCACTGTGTATACTTTTACTTTTTCATAAACATTTATTACATTGGTTAGTACATGGTGTTTTGCAATACTGAAAAATACCAGTTAAAAAAATGTATAATTTATTAATAACGAACACCTAAAGATCAGGCTATCAATCATTTTCATGAAATCGTACCAGCACTCACCTGGAATACCACAACTTTCCCATCATCAGACTGCAGGTAGAAAGTCCAAGTGGAAGAGATAAAGCTTTGAGCTGAGCTTACGAGGTCGCTGCAGAACCCAGAGATCAGGTCAAACATGGAAAAAGATGAAGGAATTCGGAAGTCCAGGATCTAGATCAATAAAGAAAATAACTATATGAAACATATTTTATTAAATTTATAACATAAACAGACAGTAACATTACACGTGGAATAAAGGGCCTTTCTTTAGAAAGCATGTGGTCTAGAATCCCTTTAGAATCTATCTAATGTATACAATTTTTTTGCTATCATTTTGGATAGTGTAGTGTTTTATTGCTCTTTGTGTTTGTTCTGAAAAGATTCACCTTCTCTGTTTGACCTGGTGATCATTGAAATTGGAATATGGGAAATCCAAAACATAGTGTTTGTAATATAACCAAGAAAATCTTGAAGGGAAATCTTTCAACGGGGACATTTGTTCCAATAATAAGATGGGATTTCACCTAATTTTGGAGAGAATTCCTTTCACATCCTGTTGTATCCTCGAAACAGGAAATATAAAAGAGTAAGGAATAAGATTTCGAAAAAAATGAAAAGCTACACAATTCCACTACAATGGTATTTATTGTCAAGTGTACATAAAAAGATGAGGTTGAGAGACTGAATGCGTTTTGCCCATTAGCACTTAGTCATAAGGTAGCCATATGCCTTATGACTAGGTGCTAATGCACAAAATGTTTTAAGACTCCGCAGGCCCAACATTTGATGAGAACTGTATATATCTAACAAACTAGCAATGGAAGAATGTGTCACCTTATCTTTTCTTTGGATCTTACTATGGTAATTACCCATCAACATTTTCTATTATGCAATTTCATTATTGATTTTATTTTTGCCATAACTACTACCACTTGCTGATGACAGTCCTTGTATAGCTTCTACCCAGGAAACCCTATTTAATTCTACCAATTTACCATATACTCTGCACAGACTGCAGAAATCTTCTTTAAAAAATCCTGTTACTGAACAATAATTGTAATTATTTGTCAAATAATCCATTATGGTTTAATGCAAATCTCTAATTTTAGTCAGATCATAGACAAAAATGAAGTAACTTCAGGATTAAATATATTTACCTAATTACATATATTACAATAGGGAGATAAAAATTAACCCAGATACAGTGGGAGAATTTACCAAAACTGGAGCAGTTGTGCATGGCCACCAATCAGCTTCTATCTTTAGCTTCTTCCAGAAAGCTTTGAAAATGAAAGGTAGAAGCTGATTGGTTCCCATGCACAACTGCTCCAGATTCTGGCTGCTTCAGTTTTAGTAAATTCCCCACAGTTTCTCTTCAAAGGGACTGTTTCATTAACAATGGAGAAAAGAAAATGAGCTCAAAAGTAGAGTTGCCTGTAATGATCACTTATAATTCTTGTTTCGTTTTCCCTTAAAATGAAAGGTGCAACCTGATTAGTTGCTTTTTGCTCTCTGCTCTTTTGAGCTTAATTTCTTATTTGTTAGTACAACCAAGCCATGATAGAAAAAACGTATTAAGCTTTAAAATACCTCAACTGGAATCTACTTATCAAACACATGAATAGACTTTTGTTTATTGCATAATATGCATATAATTTTAAACCTAATGGAAGCAGTCTCCAGACTAACTAATAATAGGAAAAGTAGAAAAAGAGAAATATATTCCTAAAACCTGGAAGAGTAGGATGAAATTATGTGGGCAAATAGTTCTAATCTCTGAATTTGACTTTATCTGAAACCTCTGCACCAAATGTACTATAACACAGAAAACATAAAACTTAGTAGAGAAAACAGCATCTACTTCAAAAGTAACACTAATGCAGGAGATTTTATACCCAATTTTTAAGATACCCTCAACATGGACCTTTTTGATGTTAGTTAACAAGTTCTGTTTCCATCGCCTTCATCATACGTAGTTGAGTACTGTTCATGATACTTTTTTTATTTGCACTAACAATTAGGACAATCTTTTTGGTGTAACACCTTCTTCTCAGTCCAAGCAGTACTTATACATAAAGCTTTAGCAAAATGTTAAAGTAGGAAAAAAGCACTGGCAGGTAAGATTTTTATAACAAGAGACAGTTGGCCTTTTCTGTAACAAATGCTCTCTCTGCCATCATTACATTTACATCTGTGCTGTAATGATGTGCATGCACGGGAGTGATATCATTGCGGCCCATGCCAATCAAACGGCCGAAGAGTTCAAACCTGGAAGAAAGATGGTGAGAAGATGGAAGCATCTGCAACATGCGAGAACACTAACAGTGCAAACCTAAAGGGGACCATTTGGCAGGCAAGTCTGCACATAATGGCCAACACCTCCTGGTTGTCCATTATTTTAACCACTTGCCCTCCTGAGGATTTACCCCCCTTCCTGAGCAGGCCATTTTTTGCGTTACGGCGCTACGGTTACTTTAACTGACAATTGCGCGGTCATGCAACGCTGCACCCAAATGAAATTTACGTCCCTTTTTTCCCACAAATTGAGCTTTCTTTTGGTGGTATTGATCGCCTGTGCATTTTTTATTTTTTGTGCTATAAAAAAAAGACCAACAATTTTGAGAAAAAAAAAACAATATTTTTTACTTTTTGCTATTAAACATGTCCAGTAAAAAAATAAAAAAAATCAAATTTCATCATAAAATTAGGCCAAAAAATCCCAATACGTGTAAATTAATTGGTTTACGTGAAAGTTATATCATTTACAAATGGCAAAATATATACTGGGATTGTGTCAGGAATGGACTGGCCAGCAATAGTGGGACTCACCTGCCTTATGACCAGGGCTGGCCAGCGGGTGCTCCCAGCAATCAGAGACTCAACCTTGCAGCCAGTCAAACACCTGGAACTAATTATACTGGTGTATTTAAGGGACATTCAGACCTGCAGACTCTGCCTTGGTGTTGTGTTTCTCCTGGGCCCTGTTTCCTGTTCCTGTTCCTGTCTGATTCTCTGCTGACCCTGCTCTGATCCCTGGCTTGTCTGACCATTCTCCTGCTCCTGATCCCTGACTTGTCTGACCATTCTCCTCTGCCTGACCCTCTGTACCACGCTGCCCGCTACCTGTTGAACCTGGCTTGTGACCCCGACCATTCTCCGCTTGCTCCCCCTGTACCTACCTGCCCGATTGATATTGACCCGACCTGCCTGACGACGCTTGCATTGTATGTACTGTTATCTGTGGGTGGTTGGTTTGGTTTGTTTGCACTGTGTTATGTTTTAGTATTGCACTGCGTTTATGTTTGTATTGTTAGTGTAAATAAATTATATTGTTTATAACATATCTGAAGTCTGCGTTTCCCTGCGTCAGTCACATACCTCTGGTCACACACCCCGGGAGCCCTGACATTACACCAAGGCCAATCCTGACCAGAAGTGGCTGCACAGGGAAGCCATCTTGGTTTGTTGATGGGAAGGATGGATCTGGATGAGTTGCGTATTTATATCTGCTAGTGTTTGATGACAGGGAGTATGCTTATCAGACTCTGAAGGAGTATACCCGGGATGAACTGCTAGAATGTATATGGCTCGCTCATGTTCTAGTAGATCAGGGCACAGAGTTCTCTGAGGTGCAGCCATTGATTGAGGTTTGTGCTGAGTTGGTTTCATCTGGTACCCCCGAATGCAGGGATGAATTTTTGCCACCATTTAGTGCAGACCAGGTAGAGTCCCTGGTGTGGTTATTAGAGGATGATGTGGGTTACTTTCTGGAGCGTTATTCCACATGTTCACCACAGATACTAAGAGATTGTATAAACGCAGTGCAGTCTTTGGTCAGACAGGCTTTGTGTAAGCTCAGCTTTGTTCAACCCATACTGCAGACATGGACAGATTTGTTGCACCCAGCCTCAGTCAGCTTACAAAAACCCAGTCCTGCTTCTAATCTATTTCCTCAAAACTCTATTCCTGCTTTCCCAACTGCTCCTCCTGCCCTGCTATCTACCGCATGTCAGTACCCTGTTCCCACTCGCTGCACCTATCCTGCCTTTTAACCCTGTAAAAAAGCCCTCTGTAGCAACTGCTCCCTCTCCTGTTCCATCCTCCAGTTCTTCTCTGTCTCCAGCTGCTCCATTCGTTTGCAGACCTGCGTTTACTTGCAGTGCTCCAGTAGTTAAAACCAGAAAAAAGCGAAAATTCTTTCCAACCAATACCATCCTGCCAGTATCCAAACCGGTGAACCTGCCTTCCGTGGTTCAGCCTGAAGCCTCTACTCAGCCTGAAGCCTCTACTCAGCCTGAATCCTCTACTCAGCCTGATGCCTGTACGCAGCCCTGATGCCTCTACTCGCCTGATGCCTCTACCCAGCATGATGAACTGATCCAGCCTGACGATCCTATTAGGCCAGTTGACTCGATGCCCGCTGTTGATCCAGATGATCTGGTACCTGATCCGGTGCCCGCTGTCGTGCCAATTGACTCAGAGCCCGCTGTCGTACCTGGTGACTTGGTGCCCACTGCCTTGCCAGATGACGCGGTGCCCGCTGGCGAGCCAAATGACCTGATGCCTGGTGACCCAGTGCCCGCTGTCATACCTGGTGACCCGATGCCCGCTGTCGAGCCAGACAATCCGGTACCTGATGACCCGGTGCCCGCTGTCGTGCCAATTGAGTCAGAGCCCACTGTCGTGCCTGGTGATTCGGTGCCCGCAGTCTTGCCAGACGACTCGGTGCCCTCAGTCTTGCCAGACGACTCGGTGCCCGCAGTCTTGCCAGACGACTCGGTGCCCGCAGTCTTGCCAGACAACTCGGTGCCCGCTGTTCCGCCAGTTGACTCGATGCCTGCTCTTCCGCCAGGTGACTCGGTGCCCGTAGTCTTGCCAGACGACTCGGTGCCCGCAGTCTTGCCAGACGACTCGGTGTCCGCAGTCTTGCCAGACGACTCGGTGCCCGCTGTTCCGCCAGTTGACTCGATGCCCACTGTTCCGCCAGGTGACTCGGTGCCCGCAGCCTTGCCAGACGACTCGGTGCCCGCAGTCTTGCCAGACGACTCGGTGCCCGCAGTCTTGCCAGACGACTCGGTGCCCGCAGTCTTGCCAGACGACTCGAAGCCCGCTGTTCCGCCAGTTGACTCGATGCCCGCTGTTCCGCCAGACGACTCGGTGCCCGCAGTCTT